AGCTTTGCCTTTATTGTTTGGAGTTTCGGGGTAGAGAAGAGGAGGGCCTCGGGTGCCATCAGGCATGCAGCATCGTTTTCTTCCCCGAATAGCATTAATACTGGGCAACGCATGGACCGTTTTGACCTTCGGAGTAATCGAACTGTGCGTACGAAGTCAAGCATGTTGCATGCCATCAGGAGAGCAATTTTGTGGGTGCGAGCGGGATGAGATTAGGGGTATTGTATAGTAAGACCTGGCGACGGCACTAAAAACGCCGATAAATCTCAGAGGCAAGTTCGTCAACGAGAAGTTTGCCTTTTCAAGATTTCAAGGATCCATGTGCTGTGTCAGGAGTCAGAAGGAAAGCAAGGAAGTTGGCCTCCCTCCCATCCTATGCCACAGCCTCTGAAACTAGCCAGATCTGAGTGAATCCGAGATTCTTCTAGTGGTGATGGGGGACCAAAGCGGGTTTGTGGGACGGAAAGGGACATATCGATTAGTACGACCAAACAGTCTGATGTGACTTGCGGTGCTCTGTCGACCGACTTTGAAGAGTGACGGGACTGATTGCTAGGCCTTTTGGTAGTGAGGCACTTGTTTAGACGAAGTGAGGGAATGAGTGATAGGGATTTGGGGTTTAACAATCGCTTAGAGGAGGACGGAATTGGTGTCATTATCTTAAATTATCGGATTCACGCGATTTTGGGACGCAAACCGGCTACTGAAGATCACGTCTGATTCGGTCAACAGATGTGAGCACATGTTCTGGGGTGCAATGCCTGAGAACTAAGCCCCTCGTGTAAGCGGGGTGCTAATATGGTTGAGTATGTTGTGGTTGCGAGTTAGGATAAGGACGGTAGAAGTTTTATTTCTTGTCAGTTGCGGGGCTAGTATCTGAAGGCGGAAAGCCGTCGTCGAGCTGGTACTGGCAAGCTGTGACAGCGAGAGGTTTATTCCAGGTTTAGGGGAAGCGCCCCGATTAAGCAATTAATATAATAATAATATGCTAATGACTTGAAGACCTCACAGACTGAGGTCCCAAAAATATTGTTCCGAACATTTGAAATTGAAGCTACAGTTTCGCGTAGGTTCAGGGATATTTAATTCGGAGAATAAGGGTGAGAAGAGTCTGGCGTAGTAGCAAAATTCTATGCCGTACTGCTGGAATGGTCTGGCTACCCAATAATTTACATTACGGGGAGTGTGCGGCAAAGAAATAATAATAATTACGCTAGGTTGGGTATACAAAAATAAAGAAGTCAGATGGAACAGTCTCACTAATAATTTTTCTCTTTAGAATAGTTCGTCGTTGGCCTAGGTCAGCGAATGAACAATAATCTAATTATGTCGGTCCAGAGGTCTTCTTCTGAACAGTTCCCACATATAATAAATTCTGAAGATGTTTGAAATGTTTTGGTACCAGAGTTAGTACATGAGACTCGCGAATGACCGCTGCAAGAGCGAGCGAAATCAGAAGAGAGAGCCGAAGCGCGTGACCACGCTTGTATTATGTGAAATTGTACAAGTGCGCGTTTTTTGCAGTTTTTCGTATTTAAACAAAAACGATTATGCAATCGATGAAATATGTAGTGTTATAATGGAAGTAAAATGAAGGTACAAAACGCCACATTGCGAGGGTCTCCGGTAACCTTAGCCACCCATATGAGCTGGTAGTTTAGATGGGACTATGGAAGCTTGGGACAGTGGCATCACGTCGACAGAGACGATTAGGTAGATGAGGAGTAAACATGCTCCACGAACTGGTGACTTAGAAAAAGTAGGCCTTCTGGAGATTGAAGTACCGTTAGTCTTTGTGGGGAACCACAGCAAATAAATAGTCATCTAGTATAAAAAATGGGCAAAAACGTATGGATGGGCGGGAATCCAAAATAGTTTTCTACAACACCTGACCTTGAAATTTTGCTCGCAACCTAGTACTCCCAGCAGTTGTGGTTGTAGTCGTGGTATTTGTTGTTCTAATACCATCTCTAATCAGTACGTTTTGAAAGATGTATCCAATAGGGATCGAGATTTTTTAAGGTCGCTCCGCTCTTCGATCCCAGTTTCGGGTAGATTCCTTCAGAAGATACCCTACAAACCCTTGAATTTGGACCAATAAGCAAACTGTATTTGCACCGCACCAACGGGGCGTGAATTCGACCAATGGATAGTCAATATTTCACCGAACTGTCACTTTCCGCATCAGGAAATACGCCGGTTGCGGAATGCCGGCTCCGCGGGACAGGTGTCAGGCTTTGAATAACAGTATCAGGTTATTTAGGAAGAAGAGTGCGTTCAGTACCTTCCCGGAGATCCTTCAAAAGTCAAGTGAGTATCATGGCTTCACTTGTTTCTGTGGGCTAAGCCCATTCAACGGAAAGTATCCCCGTGTTTTAGATTTTCACGCCTTCAGTGCATTCTGATTGAGTTGTTTAAGCACATATGAAATCGTCTTTATGTGTTAGATCTTAATGAAAAATACCTCTTGAATGCAGATATTTGCGTGGTTTAGTCTTCGCAACCGGACACCAAAACAGAGCTGAGGCGGAATGCTTACCTCTTGGACTTGATCAGCAAGAGCAGGTGTCGCTTTTGAAAACCTCCGTCTTAAACTCACGGTGTGATGGTGTTATCTGTAAATAGCAGACGCGAGATGTATTACGAGTTTTCGACGCGCACCCCTGCGTTGAAGACACCGTTTTCCGGAGTAGAGAGAGAATAGCTGACAAGTAGTCAGAACGCTGCTCCAGATCTGCATTAACAGGTCCCATGCACAACGAAAGAACGAGGATTCCTTGTGACAAAGGGCCGTTGGTCAAGAGATGTCGGTTGCTGTGCTACCTCTGGCTTCTGCTGGATTCAGTGCATAAATTTCGAAGAACCGAATTCCAAGTTGCGTCACTTGCGACGCCAACCGGAGACATCACTTCTACTGAGGATCACTTATAGTAAGCCATATCAAGGTCTATTGTGTTGTTTGGTCGGGAGAATGTCAGCTTATCAAAGTGCGGCGGCTTGTGTACTTTTATGGCCCATTTAGCTATACTGTGACACCCGCAGAGTTCCTTTTAC